CTCCTCCTTGAACGCGAGGATCCATTTCTTTTCAACTTTTGAATCGTCGTTAGGCAACACTTGTTCACGAGCGAAAGCTTCATCCAACGCCATACATCTCGAGACTTTTCGAGGCGAAATCAGACATGGAATGAAAAAGAAAAAGATAAAGAAAAAAAAAAGAAGAAAAAGAGGAAGAAGACGAAAAAGACGAAGAACAAGAAGAAGAAGAAGAAGAAGAAGAAGAAGAAAACGAATAGAACAAAGTTAGGTCGCTTCGAGCGAAACATCGTTTATCGATTATCGTCTTTTAAGTATGTCCTTTTGAAAAATAAAAGTTCAAACGATAATGTACTTACACGTAATTCATCGTCGTAATGTTATCTCATTTTTCTTCGTGGAAATCGTTTCATCGAATTTCTCTCTCTCTTTTCTCTCTCTCTCTCTCTCTCTCTCTCTCTCTCTCTCTCTCTCTCTTTCTACCACTCTATATCGCTTTAATTAAAAATATATAGAGCTAGATATTACCATATTTACATTTTACAAATTAAGCTCGAAAAAGCATCAAAAGCATACACCATGTCCCATTCCCACGACTAATTAGCTTTTCGATGAAGAAACATCGTGTCGGCAAGTTTATGAATGAACCGGTCGGTTATCCCTTATGTTTACACACGACGATTATACCAAGGTCCTACTCCAAACATAATGAAAGAGATGCGGGAGAATTTCTGTTGCGGTGGCGAGTCTTTGAAATCGGAGACGTCTGGACGATAGAAATGCGCTAGCTCAACTTAACGATGACCGAACGTGTCTTTTTCTAAATGCGAGCAGGTCTAGCTTACTTTTGTCGTCCCAGAAAAGGAAACTTTGTGACAAATCGTCATTCGTTTCTCCGTCTCTTGGAACTGATCCTATCGATGTTGGGTGTCTATCGATTAAATTTCGATAAGATAAATAACATGTAGACAAAAATATAAGGGAAACTTTTTTCTTTCTCTTTCTATCTTTTTTTTGTTTTTTCTTTCTTTTTTTTTTTTTTTTGTTTTGAAAAGGTCCATGTATTCGAGTTAGTTTTATGGTAATTTTCTGTCTTTCTAGAATAGACCTTTTTTTTTCTTTTCCTTTTTTTACGAGCTTGGATCTCACAAGTGATACTTCACTTTTCCTCTTTAAAAACATAAGGACCAGAAACAGCGATCGTTCTCTTCGTCAAGTGAAACCGGCTCGCCCTGTATTTCGGAGATTCGAGATGCTCCGAGAGCTAGAAGCTTTATTTCATTTCTTTGTTTTTATTTTACTACGTGTAACATGGACAATATCGTTCCTGTAAAACTGTGTATATAATATACAGAATATTCACCATAAACGTAATAGATTTACATTTATGGAAATCCACACATCTAATGTACTACTACATTAACATAATATGTAAATTTAATAGATCTACATAACGTTATACGAGCGACTATCCGGTAAATTCTTGGTAGTCTGTCGAGTTAACTTCGTCCATCGTCAACGAAATATTTAATTCTTAACATGAGCTGATTCTTATCAATTTAGAAGTAAGATATCATATATATATATATATATGTATATATATATATATATATATATATATATATGATATCTCTTCTATCGAAAAAATATATGCTCTCTGAATGTTTTATTCTCTTGGTACGAGCATATATGCAACGTACATGTTTGATCATCCAGTTGCAAGAAAGATCGGCTCTACTTCTGCCTGTCAGCTGTCAGTTGTAGAAGTATAGCGATTGCATTCATAAGAATCGTGATAAGGGTTCTTAGGTTACTCGTTACAATATGGAGTTGCTACGCCATGAAGTGTCAATATGAGATCCATCCATCGGCTTTTTATCTTCTTGCATACCTTCGTACTCGGCGCCATTTCTTATACGATTTCATGTCTCGTCTTTTTCTTCGTTCGATATAGCAAAACGATACTACGTCACAGCATGAACATGCATAGGAATTAAGAATGAAATAAACGTTAAATTGCCGAGCTGAAACATTAACATTATGTTATTTTCATTCTTTAAAATGTTAAAGACCATTTTCGAAATGAAGTATAATAGTTAAGTTCGTCTGAACGTGTCGGATGGTAACGATAATAAAGTATAATTTTCATCATCGAAATGACTACTCCATATATATATATATATATATATATATATATATATATATATATATATAGAGAGAGAGAAAGAGAAACATGCTAATAACATATATATATATATATATATATCCATATATATATATTATTAGCATGTATTGTGAGTAGGGCCTACCCGCGCATTATGCCATTCGTGCAGGATTCATATACATTTTAATGAGTCGCATAATGTTTATCCAGACGAATGTTTGGTCCCGTTAATACGAGTGCCCAACCAGCCGACCCTGTTTGTGAGAAGCAGAACGAATAAAAGCAAATGTTAACGTATGGAATATGCATTGACTCCTCTCATTTCCGAATGCACTATTTATAATGACTATGGTGTCTCGTTGAAAGGTGATCGTGCTTTAGTTATTTCTTCTTAACGTATTAATTTTATTTCATATACATATATATATTTATATTTTTAAATAATTCGAACAAAGTAAGAGAGACAGAACAAAATCCTTTAAGAAATTCACTAAAGGTCTCTTGACCTTGGTCCATTCATATGTTACCATTTTACCTTCTTTCTTCTCACTCCTCTCTACCATCTTTCTTTTCTTTTCTTTCTATCGAAGTCAACGATTCTTCTCATGCCATGCAGAATCCATGACGGTCCACCGAAGAAAATAGCTACGTTGCTTTCAGGACAATGTACGTAATACGAGACGATCGTAGGTGGTCCACAAATGGGTCTTAAGAAATCCTAAGGCGATTTCTTAGCTTTTCAGTGGATCGTTGACTTCTTAGTAAAAAGGAAAAAAAAGAAAAACCAAAAAAAAATTACAAACGCGTTATTACACGTAACGTTGCAGATCCGATCTTTCTAAATGTCATCTTCTTTCTTTTCTTTCTTTCTTCTTGTTTGTTTATTTTTTTTTGTTTTTCTTTTTCTTACGTATCAATTTATTTTTTCTTTTTCCGCGAGAGAGTGAGAGGAGATAATAAAATAATCATAGTAATTGAGAATTATCGTATCTAAACGTGTGGACGTGTAGATGTATATATTCAAGTCCGAGAAGATGAATGAGAATTTGCTATGAAGGATGTAGGTTGAGCGTCACTCTTGGGACGTAACATTTGGTTTGCACGTGACACCAAGTAAAAACTCTACACTTTTGTTGAATTTCCTTCATTCAGGGTGAACACGTATATCCGTTGGTACGCTAAACGTGCGCAATGCCTTCTCTGTAATTTCGTCTCATCAATATTCCTCGCAGACTATTACTTTGAATAACTAACCGATACTTGCGTAGAAAACACGTGCTACTTATTTTAGACAAAAGTCCATCGTATCTATCGTGAGGTAGGACGAAAATGTAACTTCAGTTTAGGAGAAAAAGCTTGGTCACTGTCAAAACAGTAATCTACTCGTTAAAGCGAGATAACCGAGAAAGTTAGATTTACCTTTTCAATTTCAATGATGAAAATTCAAATGGTCCACAATTTCCTTCTTCCATCTTGAATTTCGTATCGTCGAATGGCTCAATTAACATGGAGAATTAGGAATTAATTTTGTTTAATTTAGTTCTTGATTATTCCGACAAAACCTTCAGTTTCATTCTTTGACATCTCGTTCACAAATATTAATATAGAAGTTAACTTTGATTAACACATCTAAATTTATATCTCTTGGGCTCGAGCACTTAATTGCAAGAGTCCCTAACGTAAAGGAAAAATTTTTAACTCATTCGAGAATAATGTTACAAATAGATGTTCCCCATGCAAAAGAAGTTTGCTTATTGAGAGCTGGTTTTAAAGTAGTATCGCTCGTAAAAAGCTTTCCTTATAGCTGCCTGCCCGATTTTTCCTCTTTTCTTTATTGCAAACGCGTCGAAGCGACGTGGTCGATAACACCAACGTGTTCGTTTATGCTCGTTTCATGAGAACGGGTGGGAAGCTTCGGGAAAACGGCCAACGGTGTAGGATGACGACGACGACGACGACGACGACGACGACGACGACGACGACAACGTTTCTCGATGCAGACCTTGCAAATTGAATCGAGCACAGAAACTGGTCTCGTAAACTGGAGCCGACGTTTCAGCGACCGGATGCTCTTAATGATCGGCAATTTCAGTGCGCGCGTTAGGCGCTTGAGAGAGAGAAAGAGAGAGAGAGAGAGGGAGAGAGAGAGGGAGAGAGGGAGAGAGAGAGAGAGGGATAAAGAGAGAGAGCTTAATACGAGTAAGTAAACTATTTCTCTCCTCGTAGACATCTTCGAACCACCTATGTGTCTCACGCAACTAGTTGCCGTTGACCCTTGTTAATTCATATTCTCTGACTATATTGCTGTTACTTTTTATCGCTTCAATATAACTACATATTGTTTCAGTACATCAATTTTAATTTGACTTTTTCGAAATGACAAATCACAATATATATTATACACAATATATATTATCACAATATACATGTATATATATATACATATCCTTAATTGAAAAATTTAGAATTAATATATTTTATTTTTATGAGAAAAATTATCATCGATTCTTTCACGTTAAAAGGAAGAACGTGACAAAGTCTTCGAAGATCAATTCTCTGTATATTCATTACTGTAAAGGACGTCGAGCATCCGCTTAAACGATTGGGCGAGAAAACGAAGAGAAGGACGATGGAGGATAGATGGGAGGAGACAGGAGAGAGAAAGAGAAAGAGAACGAAAGGAATAAAATGAGATACGCATACAAATACAAATAGAAATGTGTGAATATACACCGTTAGCTATATATGTATGTTCGGGAAGATATCGCGGCTCTTAAATATTTCATTCGAATAAACTGGGAGAGGTAGGTGCAGCTACAAGGGTAGATAGGAGAGTGGGAGGAAAAAAGGGTGGGAAGAAGAGTAGTACGTTCTCTCGGTTTCTCTGCACCCTCGTTTAAAAAGTGAGCACGAAAAGGGACACTTGAAGCATGGAGAGGACCTCGGCCTTTTATTACACTGGCTGTGGATAGGGGACAAGGGGATGGGTGAAACGAAAGGACCCCTGATTATCCATTCGTCCTGAAAGCCTTCACGTTTTCACCGACCCCTTTCTCTTCGGAAGAAGCAACCAGAAACAGAAGCAACAGCAAGAACAGCAGCAACGACGGCAACAGGCCAAAGGATTCTCCCTAGACACCGACAGGATGCACATTCGAGCCACACCTATGCATCTTTATGGGGTATCATTGGTCGCCAAACAAATTAGTGAATGCAAGCTCTCTAATCACGTCCGATGTTACTACGTGGCGGTACTGTTAATTTATGACGCGACGTTTACAGCGCCATGCGTTGACTCGCGATAAGTTCTCAGGATATTTCCAAGGTAAAAACGAGAGATGCTTTTGCCTTTTGCTAAAGCAACTATGAAGTTGACAGTCAGTTCCACTCGTATTTCTATAATAAAAACGATGATAAATGTTTTTGGAAAGTTATGCGATCGACCGATAAAGATTTTTACGATGAATAAAGGGATATAGAGAAAGAGATAGAGAAAAGTTCTTTTCAGAGAGGTTCTATGAAAAGTAGGAGTGCTTTATCGTTATACTTCAGCGAGATTTATTATCGAATAGATGCTTTCAAAAATTTATATCGATAAACGTCGAAGCTTTCAATCAGTTCGAGTTATTTGCCATTGAGAAATCTATGAAGAGACGAGATAAGCAAACTACAGATGCTTCCTGAAGTCTATAAACCGCAGTTAGAAACGTAATGCTCTGATTTAAGCGTATACACTAGATCTACACTGTCTCGCGGTCGACTTTCACCGACTTAGTTTGCGATAGTGAATAATTTCACCTTCGGAAATTCAAGTGGATAAATTCGAGATGATCGATGAGTAAAAGGGATTAAAAGAACTAAAGGAAAAGAAGAAGAAAAAAAAATAACTAGTGATTTTTTTTTTCTTTGTTATACATATATCACGGTATATTTTTTAGGAATGTACAGTGTTAGGTAGTAATCTGAGATGTTGCCGAGCAAGCAGCCTGCTGCGACTCGATGTGGATTCCAAGTATGAAGTGAGATATAAGCCTCAGATTTCTGCGTAAATATACAGAGTATGCATCTTATCTCGCGAGAGGAACGATATAACAAAGTGTGAAGATGCTGACGGTGCCAGGACCAACTTGGGTTCACGAGGAAAGAAAATAACTATGATAGATATATGTGTGTCACATGCAAATTATATATTTACATGCGATCTTTAAACGAGCGATTTAAAACGAGCCCAGTCGTCAGAATTGATATTTGCCAAGCTATCGACCAATCAAGCAATTTGTTTCTTCTCTCTATTGGGCCCCGTTGATTTCATTGTATTCATCAAATCATCGCGTGACCGATTTGCTCGTTCCTGTGGCTCGTGATCTTCTCGTTAGATGCCGCCAGGCATTTTATTGTAGAAGAAGTAGCAGGTGTTTGCGATTTATCAAATGTAACATGGATAACGATATGTTTTCTTTTTTTTTCTTTTTTTTTGTTTTTTTTTTTTTTTTATAGATAGTTGTGGATAAGTAAACACTTATAATTCATCAAAATCTGGTCTTAATGTAATTGGTGCGATAACGAAGGATCGCGGAATATAATTTAAGTGGATTCTCGGACACACATTGGGAGTTTCTAGTTGGAACAGGGAGTGAAACTTGAGATTATATGGTAGCAAAGGGCTGTCTGATATCTTCCTGAGAGTTTCGATGAATCGAAATGGACCGAGGCCACGGAAATTTGCATAATTCAATTCCTGTCGACGGAAACTCGAATTGACGATCTTATCGGGCTCTCTCGACTCCCTCTATCTTTCTCTCTTTCTCTTTCTCTCTCTATTTCTCGTACGTATATACATACGAGAAGTCAGCGATTAAAATTCTCGCGAGAACGGAGCACTATCGGTCAGCGAACGTACGAAGCTGCTCTCCTTGGTAAGTCATTTTTACGAACCGTCCTTGTACTTCGGTGCCTGAAAGAAACAGAATCTATAAAAGAGATATTACTAAGAACGAATAAGAGACTCGACTAATTTAATATTCTAGTAAAGGGAAGTGTGTCACGATTCGCTAGCTATATCGGGAACGTGATCGTTATGATATATATATCACACATCGTCTTAACGAGAGCCATTCTATTTATGAGAGAGTATATCGTAGAAAAAAAAAAGGAAAAAAAGACGGCACGACACAGTTAATGATAAAGTTAATATTTTTTTCGTAATATTTATAAGCAATACCAATTATAGCGGCCGCGAAATTATGTGCTCTATATGCAATCTTGTCGAGCGAGCAATTTGGCTCGAACTTTTGAGAAATCTTGGCACGTAATACTCGCAAGTTTCTGAATGATGCCCACGCACGAAGCGTAAGTCGTTCGGTCGTTTTCACGAACACGTACGTGAGCGCACACAAGCTCGTTCATTGACATCGGGACGATGCGTGGGCGGGCTTTGTATCTCGTGCCGCATAATCGTCGCGTACGTTGCACGCACAGCACGAGCGCGCATTTCCCTCCTCGATTGGATACCTCCATTATCTCGTTCCACCTTTCCTTCGAAAAGAAATGCGCTCGTTACGGAAGGGTGCGCGTTATTAAAGACCCCTATAGTGTTGTAATATTACCGGGGTGGATGGTGGGGGGTGGTGAGGAAAAACCCCCGAAATGGTTTCATTTAATCGAGACAACCCGTGACGATCGAATGGAACATTAAAAAAGTATTACTTTCGATCGATAAGAAAATACTTCATTAATCACACTCATTATACGCAAAATTATACTTATTCCTTATTCCGGAAAAAGTTTCCCAACTCAATCTTTAATAGCCAGTCTGTTTCTATTCGTACGGACTTTCAACATTCACGTTTATTACCAACAGAATTGCAGCGATCGTTTGAGAATGCGGTTTTTATCGGTCCGTATATACAGTGTATCTTACTTACTCGCAATAAAATTTTAGCGATAGAGATAAACGCTTACGTAGGGGCATATTAGTGATATCTAGAAGAGTTTGTTTCGTTCTATTTTAAAACATCGAAACGAAATATTCTTATCCAGGCCGAACATTTTCGTTATCACGTTACATTCGAACGTATATCCTATGTACCATTACACCATTTTCACGCATAATGATTTGACTCAATGGTAATTTTTGAAACATGTACTTACTTATTTATTTACTTACTTTACTTCCTCTTCTTTACGTAGTAGTAGTAGACAAAGGAAGAACGGTGTACTCGAGTGTAAGTTGGAAAAATCGAAATAAGGACAAGTCTTCGCGCCCTTGAGCTTCATTCACGCGCGATTAGTTAAATCCTGTTAGTCGCTTCGACAACGTGTTAACCCCTAACATTACGGACGAATAACATCGTTCTCTATGGTCATGAGAGTACATGTTAGCATATAAGCCTCCTTGTAATTGGATTACCGACTTGTGGACGGTGGTAGTACACTCCATTGCAAAAGTACATGAATTGTGAAAAGAAAAGAAAAAAGAAGAATAAAAAAGAAGAAGAAGAAGAAGAAGAAGAAGAAGAAGAAGAAGACAGAAAAATTAAATAAACAAATAAATAATTGGTATTAATGATTTATTAATTTAATTGGTCGATACAAAAAGAAAAGAATTTTTCTTATTGTATCTTTGAGAGATACTCGCGAGATAAGTTAATCTGAATGATTTCTAATCAGTGTCTCGTTCTTCCTCGTAAATTCTTATTAAACGAGTTTGTAATTAGAGTTATATTAATCATGGAAAGACCAAGCTTAGGACGATCATGAGAAAGGAAATGGTGACGACGATATGAAGGACTAAGAAGACGACGATGGTGCTGAAGGGTGCTTTGCAACGGTACTTTGCTCAACGAAAGGGCGCGTGTTGCAAAGCGATTCTAACCCTTCGCGTAACACGCTTCGTCGAACTTGTATCGATATGAGCATACTCGTGTCCCCGCATGTAGAATGCGGTGTTTCGTAGAATGCGACTTTCGAATCTTCCTAAGCCCACTTTGCTTCGAGAACGACCATGAGTTTTCTTCTCTTTTCTCTCGGCCGTACAATGTCGGATTGGCGTAGTTCCAACTTTAATACCGGGAGCTGAACTTTTGGCATTACATGTTTGTACTCCCACGCGATACGTTACTATCGCGGTAAACCGTCCTCCTTTCAAAGCTAAATTATTTAAAACGTAAACCCTCGCAAGCTGCTTCTCGTTAAGCTTTTATAATTTTCCTCGACTTTCAATTTGATTTAAAAGGAAATGTCCTTTAAAGAAAAAGACATTATAGGAATTTCTAATTAAAATTTAAATAACAAATAAGTTATACATGATTATTATAGATATTATTGATAAATTACGAAAATCCATATTCAATTGTTCTACTTATTGTTAACGCTTATATAATATTATACATGGATGATAAGAAATAATAAATTCAAAGAACAATCGTAAATCTTTATTGAAATTGGTCCCGTAGTGTCATAATAGAATTTTTGTTTTTGTTTTGTAGATTTAACGAAGCTAAACGTGCCATAAGCGAAGCGACATGAATGCGGAACGGCTTTCGATATTGAGTTTAAAGCCCGAACGAGTTTTGCTGCCGACTGGCACTAATGTACGATCATTGTACTCGAACCGAAGCCAAAAGACTGCCACGTGTGCACCCTTCGTCAAACGCGACGCTTCGAAAACTGACTCACGAAGTTTACACCCCGTAGTCTGGGAGTTTCTAAAAGAAGGAGGAGAGATAGTTTGCATACGTAATAAAGCAAGATGGCAAAGGGTGGTCTCGAGCAACGTAGAAAAATATTACTTCGGTAGTACAAACGATGCGTAATCCGTGCTTATCGTTCGAATCTTTCTTCCCTTTGTAACGTACAATGATTTCATTTACATATACAGGATGTCCCATTTTAATTTATCTTATTTAAATAACACTTTAACCCTTATTTTTATTCGAGATATAAAAAATAAAAAATGAATTTTAATCTCAAATACATATATAAATAAGAATTTTTTTTTTGTACTTCTTCCTTTTCTTTTTTTTTTTTTTTTTTTTTAGGATAACATTAATAATTTAATATAGATCATGCTCTATTCGATTAAAAAGGAACACCCAAAGGTATAACATTGCTTTCAATTCGATCTCGATATAAAAATAACTATAAATGTGTTATTTATTATCCAATGCTCGATTAGCAACGAGTTTACTTTGGCTTCGCCTTTCGGAACTATTATTATAACATTATTCTTCATTCGGCCGAGGGTTTATCGACATGGCGCGCGCACGTTCGCGCGCTCTCGTGTGCCTATAAGATATGAAGTTAATATCATAAAGTAGAAGGTAGAAGCAAGAGGAGGATGTGTATATCTACATCTATATACGTAGTAACGTCATAGAAAAGAGGACGGTGGTCCCTTGTCAAAATATTAGCTTAGGAACGACCCACGCAATGATTTAAGATACGTGTTCCACACAGGTATCTTTCCACTTTGGTCAGGACACCTTTCGCTTCGAGGATATTACATCGATCCCGTGTACGTATCCAAGCACAATGATATAAGTGTTCGTTTGAAGCGTACCAGGAATGTAGATCGATATATTTTCTCCTCATCGTAATGGAATTCGGTAGGCGGTCTGACGTGGGTATTAAATTCCATCGGGATTAGAATTTTCTATGAGTTCGATATTTCGATGGATCATTGTTGCTATGGAACATCATTAATTAATACGTAATTTAATAATCTTAATAATAAGATCGTAATTCGATCAGAGAGATTGTAATTGTGTTTGAGAATAAGTAGAAAAAAAAAATAAATAAATAAATAAAAAAGAAAAAGAAGAAGAAGAAAAAAAAGAAATTTCGTCGTTTTTATCATTCGCAATAAATCTCCATTAAACTTTGTAGAAAATTCGTTCTCTCTGGTGTCATCTCTCACGAGTTGTGGTATCAACGTAGCAACGTTCGTATAATGCGTCCATTGTCAAGAGAATATGTGGGTGAACGCGTATGCCCCGTAAATACTCGCGTACTTGTACCAACGTGGATGATGCACCTGTGCAAATATTTTCATGCGACAATGCATCAGCAACGCTGATGTCGTCGTTTGATGCAAGAGTCGCAACATCGGCAGAAACGGAATCACGAGTCTTCCCTTCTATCTCCTCGTGATCGTACCACATCTGCATATATGTACATAACTGTGTACATAGATATACATAGATATACATACGCATCTATATATATACAGATATGAAATATATGAATGAGAAAACGGCAAAGGGGTGAACGGGTATAGTTCCAAACGATTTACAAGCGTACCGTTGTTAACCAAAACAAGGGAATACCCTTCCCGATATTCCCATTAAGCATCATCGGTTTCGAAATCAAATTATATTCCGTATCTATAGTGCATTTCATATTTTCTCCGCTATCGATTATCTCAGAATCGATTCGTTATACCTACGTAGATATTATTTATCGTGGACCATTTAATCCATAATATTTATCATCGAAAAAGATAATCTTTCTTGTTTTTGTTCATTTCAATTTAAATCGTATGAGATGAGAGTTACTCAGAATCCACTCCCCTACTCTACACTCTCGATGTGAGTTAAAAGCTTCGACAGAATCGATTCGAACCCGTTCGAATCGGATATGAACTCGACGTGTAAAGACGACGAAGAATGTGGTTCTTCACCGTAAAAGGATATGCATCTGGTATGAACGTCAAACCTGTCACGTTAGTGGTACATACATGTATGTACTTACGACCTTTTCAATACAACAGGTATTATATCGTTCTCTATACGCTTTTGTTATTTCCTCAATAGATAGGTACGTCCACTCCTCGAAATAATCCGAAATGATCGTAGTTGTACGTTGCAGTTATCATATTCTACAGTTCGTTCTCTCTGGCATCGAGGATGGGATGCAACGATGCGAAGGCGCGCGGAACTCGTAATTGGAGAACGTGTACGATAAATTTGAAACGCGTGACCCGCATAACACGCGTAGTTTCATTTCCCGTTTGTGGATGAAGCGACGATTATAAATTGAAATGGTCCGTTAGTTGGAAGTTGCGAATATCTATCCGAGTCTTTCTTCGCGAAAGTATCCGATTATCGATCGATCCTCATGTAATTTCTCTTTATCGTAATATCAAATGAAAGTTTCTTATTTGGAATTTCAAACTACGAGAAATCTCAATCGTAGAAAAAGAAATTATTTAATTATTAGAAATTGATTCTTCTATATTTGTACCATATGGTTTGGATAATAATCGATGTTATATCGTATCGAAGATACATTAAATATATTCTTTAAATTGATTCATTGAAATATCGAGTATTACAGTTCGTACAGTTCAAAGAAATTTTCAAATAGCACGAAAAGTAATCGTGTCGTTAATTATTGAAGAGAATAATTGTATTTGACGGGAAGCAATGGTATTAATTTAATGGAAACAGAGAAACTAACGAAGCGTACGATGGAATAAAGAGGAAAGGGTGATGGCGCCGTATTTTCTTACCGGAATTCGTCAAAGTCACGAATGACATCAGTGTTCCAACAAGCACAGAGAAGAGGAGAAGTAAAGGGTGAAATCGTCGTCGTCGTTGTTGTCGTCGTTGCCGCCGCCGCCGCCGCCGCTGCCGCGTGTCGAGGCACTTCAATTGAACTCACTTGAGAGTTAAAGCGTGCGAGCCGGCTTCCTCGTAAACTGCATCGTCCATCTTTCGTAGCACTTCTTCGGGCGCAATTCTTAAGTGATCGTTACGCGAGAGACGCGAGTTCGGTGCGAACGAGCAAACGAGCATATCTCGAAATAGAAAGCAGAAGGAGTTCTCTCTTGAGGACTCGAAGAGGGCTTTGAGAGGTGGGGTAAGTTAAGATTTTATGGATTTAAATTGGCCAAAGGGCGAGTCGCCGTATCCAATTGGCGTGAATGCTCGATCATCGTAAACTTTCGAAAAATCTTTTTGGTATAGGCATCTATATATATATATATATGCATCATTATAATGGGTAATGATACTTTGGAAGTTTTATCGATAACGATAATTACAAAGATTCGCAGAAAGATTTACAAAGAATTACTAAGACAAACTTATATTATTTATTTACAAACTTATATTATTATAAACTTATATTATTTATTTTTATGTAAAATATGAAATATTTTTATATTTTATGCGAAATATTTTTTATTTTTATATAAAATGAAATAAATAAACTTTAACTTTTGATTTTAAAATAAAAGAGAAAACGAGTATAACATCGATGATACATTTATCATTTCATTAGGTACGAAAGGTCAAAACGAGTAACGAAACTAATTAGCATTGTTTTTTTTTTCTGTTGCAGCAAAAATGCGTGAAAGCGCGAGCGTTGTACGACAATATAGCCGAAGCACCAGACGAGTTGGCTTTTCGGAAAGGTGATGTTCTGACCGTACTGGAACAGAACACGGCGGGTCTTGAAGGCTGGTGGTTGTGTGTCCTGCGAGGTAGACAGGTAACGAATATAACTCCTCTCTTTACCTTCTAATTTTCTCGTATCTTTATGCTTTATTAGTATGTATTCTTTTGATGGATGTTAGGTTTAAAGAAGGAAAAAGAGTATTCTTCAAAGGAAGAATGATCTCTCTCTGTCTTCCATATACTTTGTTCCCTTTCTCTCTTTCTCTCTTTCTTTTTCACGTTCTAATCATCACCATTGATACGTTCCGTCATAAATCATCGGTCCAGTCATTGTACAATTAGCAGTATGGCTTTTCAACGAGAGTCCTTAAATTACTGCAATCTTTCACGCCGTTATATTCTACGGTGTGTCGTTGGAACGATCGTTACCGCTTTGTAGTTCTGACATCTTTCAACGCGTCAAGCGCGTTTACGTAACGTCGAAGCTTCCGCGTTTTTCGCATTAGCCGACACTGTACGTTCTATTGGAGTTTAATGGACGTCTTGCGTTCATACTTATATACATACGCACGTCTAATTGTAAGTATCCGTCATAGATATTTCATATGCTTCTATAGAGACATTACTTGAAATTTCTTCATGCGAGATTGAGACACACGGCTAAGGTATACCGACGATGGCATATCTTTGTTCAAGATCTAAAGTCGATAGAAGGAGTATATCGTATGTAGCTCTCTGTACATATATATATATAATATATATATAGATATAGGCCATTGTACTCATCTTCTCTTACGTTCGACATCTGTTCGTGACATTTCTACGGTGTAGCACGACCTAGGGTAACCTCGTTACAAGAGCTTATCATCCATGGCACGGAGTTTCCTGAAACGAGCTGGCATCTGTCAAAATGTTCTCCATCTATAACCTGCGACCGTGTACATATGTACGTACATACAACGTAGTTGTATGTAGTTTTGATTCCTTCGTAATTGGAAGTGTCGATAGGTAAGGAAGGGTCTTGGTTAGGGTGGCGAAGGAAAGAGAGACGCATCAAGCTTATATGAGAAAATTGCTTTGCCTTCTTGTTACGCCTGGGAGCAGCTGTTACTCTGGAAAATTTTAATAGATCTACCCTCCTCTCGCAGTTTTTGCCTCCTCCTCCTCCTCTTCCTTTCTTCTTAGCCCCTCGAGCTATCTCGCTATTTTCGATGATCTCGCTACCATCATACTCCCCATATCTCTTCTATCCCGATTTCATCTTGGAGATTGCGGTAAACGAGTTATGCGAGGCCAATGGTAGTAGCTAATTTAGAAATATTATAATACCAGCAATTTTAATGAATTTCCTTCGGCATCAAAATATCATTGGAAAAGGATTCGATTGATTTCATTAAATTGTCGTATCAGATTAATGACCATTCAAATGATTTTCAACAGCAAAATTATCAGGAAATATATAATTATCAATTCCATTTATTTCTCTCTGTTTTCAGCGTTCAACGTGTTCATGCAAGGGTTTCGTTAAATATAATTACTTTTCAAGCTCCAATTCCTGCCAATAGCAGTACTTCCAATTTTCGTTATTACAAGTCTGAAAAATACGCGTCGTTAGCATCGAATCGATTCGTTCCGTGCGTTCCGTAAAGACGCCAGATGCATCAGATATACACACAAGGTGTCTCAGAATTTCTATTTTTACCCACTGTAATTCAATATTTTTGCTATCGTTTAATATTCATCGCTTTAATACTCGTTTCTTGTCTATGAGAAGTCTTTGAAACTAAGCATGTTCTTTCTTTTATACACGTCCGTCAGGCACTACAGCAAATAAGTAAGTTGAACGAGTCTTCATGTTATCTCGGGTTGAGAAACAAAGCGGCGTACCAAATTTATAGTTCGTTCAAGTTGTTATACTTCTTCTTTTTCTTTTTTTTTTTTTTCTTTTCTTTTTTATTCCTTTCTTATTACAAGTTTAAATAGTAAAAATAGGTAGAAAAGTAAAATGACTTTATTTTCAATTCTAATTCCATAGCTGTGTGTATCAAGGGGGGCTTATAAATTACGATAGAAAGGACTACCGTAAGTCCTAGTTACATAGATCCCTTTGTGTCCTTTGGAACGTCGATACAAGCCAATATATACATACATACATGGTCGTTGTGTCCCTTTAGAATAACGACAAGAATTGACTTGGAAAGGCGACACTGCAACGGCAAGAAGGGTCCTCCGTTTATTTTCGGTTCGATTTCGTAGAATTAGGAGAGTTTCGTGAATACACGAACGTCTAATTGGGGTGCGTTTCGTTTCTCGAAGTTCCTCGCCAGCTATTAGAAGCTGAAGGAGGGCTTTCGACGGATCAAGAGCGTTTCAGGAATATTCCAATGCGCTTTGAAGTGGTTCGAGCTCGTGACTTGTTGTCGAAATACATACCAAAGTGTCTTGAACCGAGATTACCTTTTGCACTAAAATCGTTCTATCTCTAATCTACATATTCGACTAATAAAATAACTATAAAAATATCAAAAGTGATTTGAAAGAAATTGAATTTATCTTGACAATGCATTATTATATTTCTTGCTGTAGGGAATCTGTCCAGGAAATCGATTAAGAATTTTGGCTGGACAATATGATACTGGAGGTTGCTTGATCGGTAGCAGAGCTGATTTGAATATTTCCGAAGATGGTCTACAGAGGCACGGAAAACGCCGCAGTTGGCACGTACAACCAAATAGGGTAAGTTTTTTTTTTCTTTTATGTATGTATATATATATATATATATATATATATATATATATAAGATTGTGATAATAATTCTTACGATCTTTCTTACGATCGTTAATCAAATCTCAAGGGAGAATCCTCGTAGCAGGATGTGAAGTCACGTTCCGATTAAAAGTAAGCACTTTTGAAAGAGCGTCGTGAATTTTAAAGTATCATAAGTGTCATAAATTTAATTATGATACCATTCCACGTATACTTTGATATCACTAAGAAATTTTATTCTTTGAAATGTGACATGATAAAAGAAACGCTCTCATGAAACGGGCTATCATCGCACAAAATCGTGCGTTTAAATGAAACCACAACGAA